AAGAAAAAATGAAGAGAGTAAAACTAAAAGGAAAATGAGTAGTAGTCTCATTAACATTGATAGTGATGGATTTAAAATACCTAACAAAACTGCTAAGCAACAAAAGTTAGAAAAAATACCTGCAATTGTTGAAAGTTCAAACAGATTTAATATTTTAAATGAAAATTCTCATAATGTTGATAGTGCGAATGTTAGGGTTAACCAAGACGAACAGGCAGTGCAGCAGCAGCCGATTATTAGCCAGACCCAGGCCACCCTCCCCTATTATGGTCAGGCCTGGAAAATTAACACACGAGGCCTTCTTAAAAGAATTGTCTCAGATGGCGGAAGCTAATTTCCTAGGAAAAGTAAATGGAGAGCTAAAAATTTTATTAAGTACTGCTGATGACCCACAGGCACCTTACAGCTTTGTTTCTGGAGAAAAAAATTGAGCACTACATTATTAATGCAAACTATGCAAGACCAATTAAAGTGGTTTTTCGGAGTTTATCCTTAACCACAAAAACTGAGGATATTGCCAGTGCTCTGACTGCCAAAGGTTTCGGAATCAGCAAAGTTACCCAGTTAACACGACGAACCAAAGCTCCCATGTTTTTATTTCTAGTGCGGGTCATCAAGAATGATACAGCTGAGGAAGTATACCATGTTACGAATCTACTTCTCTTTGCAGTCAAGGTAGAAAAATATGTATCCAAGAATCAGGTGCCACAGTGCTTGCTATAACTGCCAAAAGTGGCAGAATTCTTCGGAAAATTGCCATTTCGCTCCATGCTGCATTTAATGCTCACTTGAGCATAAAACCATGGACTGCCCTACAAAAGGAAGGATAGATGAACCAAAGTGTGCGAACTGTTTAAAAAATCACGTGGCGTCCTACCGGGGTTGCGAGAAATTCCCAAGGAACAGAATTAACCCTTAAAAAAAAGGACAGTACAGTGAAGAAAAGGCATCTCATTTGCAAATATGTTAAAAAATCAGGCGCGTATGTTCAACGATAACTCAAATGTTCATACCCCAAAATCGGCTTCTGCTGCCCAATGCAAGACCTCTAAGAATACCGATAATATTAAGCTAACTGATCTGAGTAATGCCTTAAAAAGAATTAAATATGTCTAATGCTAGTAATTCAAATGTGAATATATCTGATAATGTAATGCATGCATAACACCCAGGAGAGGCCGCAAGACTCAGAATTTTAAGTTTTATCAAAAATATATCAATAATATTATTTTAAGAATCAACATCAGGCTAATGAATAATGTGTTCAAAAATTATCTGCCTAAACTTAAAGAGTTGTCTGATCCAGTTGATAAACTTTTTATGTTTTATGAAATTGTAAACGAAATCAATAATAATGTCTCAGATTAATCAGGATAGGTTTCTTACTATCCGATACTACCCACTACCTACTGACTTTCGATAGGATTAGCAAATACTTAGCCAAATTTGCGAAGAAATTTTTTTTTTCAATAGTTTTTGACAAATTCCACTTTCTCTGCATATACTTCATTTCTGGTATGGTTTTGTAAAAAGTCTCATTCAATAGCTGTTCAGGTCGTCTATTTATTACACTCCAGGATCCTTTTACTTGATAGTTATATGTGATTATTAATATTTTACTTTATCTTATTACTTATGTTGTAAAATTGACTTAAAATTTGAACTTAGTTCTTAGCCCCGCCCCGACCAATACCTGAGTTGCAAGTCAATGTACTTCTTTTCCAGCCACCTCATTGGATCTTTTCACTGGTAGCTCCTCCCCTTAGCCAAAGGACATCTTTCTCCACCCATGCTTCAACCATTCTACCAGACTTGCGAAGAAACCAAGTTAGCTGTTTCTGTAGACCTTGTTACTTGTTCTTCATCTTTGGACATTGTGCATTTGAGTAGCAGCGAACTGAGTTACTGATCTGTATATGCGAGAGGCTCGTCAATTCTCACGAGATTATTCTTCCATCTGACTCCGCCATTTTATGTTAGGGACGATATGCTCTCCGCACGAGTTACACACAGGATGCAGCTAACCAGCCTAGGTGCCTGAGAGAAGTGTGCATAGCACCTGAGCCTTCAGCATTCTTTTTCCAGAAGACATCTTTGTAATCACAGTTAAAAACCTGCAGCACAGATAACCCTCAGAATTCTTGAATACGCCAATGAAATTCTCAACTGCCTTTAGAGCTTGCTGCTTCTCCGTACCTTACAACGTTGTTGGATGCTGATTCTTCTGTTTAACTTTCTGAACCACCCACGAATTGCCTTGAATGCTTCTTCTTCATCCAATCTCCTTAATCTTATCCTTGCTTTTGAGAATAGGGTAAATCTTTGATGTAGACCGGTTATATGTTCATGCTAGGTCAGCTACTCTCACAACTCGCTCTCGCTAATGATTTCGCATTTGACTTCTACTGTGACTTTTCTTGCTTTACCCATCTTCTTGAGGCATTTTCTTTGGGGACAAACATGCAAGCATGCTTAAACTTTGTACTAAAAAATAATACATAACAATGTGTTTGAATACAACTTTTACAAGCAACAGTTAGATGTTAGCTGGACGAGCATTAAACACAGGCTTAGCCGAAATGCATTTAAGATACTGCATGTGATGTCATAATAGCCCCAAATCACTTGCTCTGTAAAACATCGCTTTTTAAGGCAGTCATTTTGTTTTAATCGTTATGGGAATCACTCATAACAGGAACTGCTCGTTAAGTGATGTTTGACTGTACAGCCAAATCTGTGATCAGACTGTGCGAGTTTCTAGAAGTATGTTATTGACATACACAGGGGGGAAAATATTTATTGTTATATATTGGAAGTATGGTGAAACTTCAGTAATGTTTGGTATGATAGGAAATAAAACAAATGACATGAAAGGAACAAAATCGTTTCATATAAAAAATAAAAGAGATCTCATCTCAGTGTCGTACTTTCCTGCTTAACGGACATTACAAAATTAAAACCCATGGTTATTTTTAAAAGAAAGAGAATGCCATATGTAGATTCCCAAATATTTTTATTCATATTCACTAGAAAGGATGGATGGATGAAAGCAGTGTGAAACTGTGGATAAGGAATGGTTGGCAAAAGCATCGTGCTTCCTTAAAGAATCCAGAAAGTCTTTTAGTTTGGGACATGTTCTAATCCCATCTAACAGATGATACGAAGGAATTGAAAGAGTGTAATATTTTTTAAAGAAGTGTGAAAGAAGAGTGTAATATTTTTAAAAGAAAAATAATTTCACGAGTGATGTTTCTATTCATGGTCATGAGAAAGAATGGATGGACAGAAAAGGTGTGAAATTATGGATAAGAAATGTTTTCCAAAAGCATCCTGCTGCCTTAAAGAACCCAGAAAGTCTTTTAATTTGGGATATGTTCAAATCCCATATAAAGGATAATAAAGATATTGAATATAATACAGACATGGTAGTTATTCTAGGCAGAATAACCCTGTTAATCCAACCTTCAGATGCATATATCAATAAAGCATTCACAGAAAATTAAAAATGATAGTGGAATACATAGATATTAGAATGTGAAAAACATTTACAAGAGGAGTCAAATGAATCATGGCAGTGTAGGTATAGTGTGCAAGTAGGTAATAAAAGCATGGAATGAAATTAAATTTGATTTTAAAAATGTGGTACATTGAAAAGGATTTAAATGTAATGGATCATGATTATTTATTTATGGGTCATATTAACAGTTCCATATTGACTACAGTCTAATATTGCACACTGGGTAAATAGAAACATAGTTAAAATTATCTACAGCTTTGTAAAAAATTACTTCAACAGTGGGATGACTGCATTTATCATCTAGCATTTGCATTACAAACAGCTACGCATATACTACCATGAAGACTCTGGCTGAATTATTTCTTGCAGAAAGTTAATTATGACCCTAGATTAACTGTTTTTGCTCAATAGAAGTCTGCAGAATTTATTATTTTTATATACAGAATTATTTCTTGGCAGAAAATTAATTATGCCCCTAGATAAACTGTTTTTTGTTCAACAGAGGTCTGCAGAATTTAAGATGGCAGGCATCCAAAAACTAGCGAATGGGGCAATCAGAAATTCGGATACGGCCAGAGCAAAGAGTTTTATTATGACAAGAAAAGGCAGAAGTTAATTTTAAGGTGGGAGATGAGTTTTGAAAATTAAATATTCTCTTTCATATGCACCAGAAGGAAAATTGAGAAAGTTTTGTAATAATTTCAAAGGCCCATTTATGGATAAGGGAAACAAGTACGGCAAAATGGCAGAAATTCAAAAGCAAATGTAGCCTATTGTAGCAAATGCATCAAGTGATATTATAAGCATGCTGATATCTCACTACTAAGGGATGTTTTGCAAGAATCAATTGCTGTAAGAAATGAAGGACCTTATCGTAATCATGTTGAAATTATTTTCAATATAATTTTTCTACTTAAATTTTATAAGGGTGGGAGAATCAAATTAACACAATTTAAATCTCATTAATTCAATAAATTTAATTTATTGCTGGGAAACATTTTTTTAGTAAAGGTTAAAAAAAACTGAAGATTTGGTGAATTACCAGCAGATGTGATAAAAAATTGGGAGTTTCCCAGTAAAATCATATAGAGCTGGAAGCTATGAAATATATATAAGTGAACTTTCCCCCCCTGGTGTGTTTCTATGCATAAAAGACCATGCAAAAGGAAAACCAGTCAACTTCTTACATTTTTTTTTTTAATTTATAAAATTTCCTAGTTATTCACCTGTTGCTATGTTAGCTCTTACAATAATTTACACTGTTGCACACATATATGCATATTTGAATACATGTGTACACACACACACACACATCTTTCAATTAAACACATAACAAAAATCCCCCCATTATGAAGAAAATAATGTTTTTAACTTCAAGCTTATATACCAAAAGTGTGTGCAGTTTTTATTTTTTACTATACATCTCATTTTTGTTATTATTAGATCAAACTTGTTGTGAAGAAATAAGTAATACAATACGCAATTCTTTCTCAGAGTACGTTTAATGAAAGTGTACATAAATGTCACATAATTTTAATGGCTTCTTATCCGAGTCAAATTCTTGATGAATGAAGTAGCAGGATTTGATTCACACTGGAATTAGATATAAAAAGAGACACAACTCTGAAATTAGAAGGGGAGGAATTACAGCAACAATCAATAACATAAATAAACAATAGGATTTTATAACATTTAAAAATACAATCTCATAATAAAACATATATAGTTTGCTCTTAGAAATGATCGTGCTAATTTAGAGCAAATTAATATAAATAAAATTTATGTTTAAGTTTTGCATTTTTCAAGTTTGATATTTGAAATTAAAATCTGAACACCAAACAAAAACTGAATTTTGCCACATCAAACCTAACAGATTATTAACAAACCTTATTTTTGATAAATTATGTAATAAAAGTAAATGCCAAAGACATTAATAATTCTTTTTATAAACATGAATTCTGGTAGTCTTCTTTTGACACTGTAACAAAAACTTTTCTTTTTTCTTCTCCTTCTTTTTGTTTATGTATGTGTTGCTATTAAAATTACTAGTGTATTGAAATTACTATATGTGTTGCTATTAAAATTATATTAATCTATTAAATTTAAATACCATTCACAAATGAAGATAACAGTAATAACTACAAAAGCATTACAAATAACAAAGCTATCACAATTAAGCACTGGCAAATATTTCAGTGCAGGAAGAAAAGCCTTAGATTCTGTAACACAACAGCTGTTTGGGGGGGGGGACTGAAGGAAAATAACTTTAAAAATCACTTACGAAAATCAAATTTTTAAGTTCTGCAAAACTCTCTATATCATCAAACTATCAATCAGACAAATCAGCAATGAAAATTCAATGAAGCTGATTGATTTTAACCTTAGCTACATCTATGCAGCTGCTAACTTTGAAATGTTAAAAATGGGCATTTTATATTGCATGATTTAAAATGTTAAACTACTTAAAGGTGATGCTGATGTAAATTTGACATTTAACTTGGTATTCTGAGTTTCATGCTTTTGGGCTACTTTTCTTTTATTTTGCAACTTTCTTAAAATTTCATAATGATCAGACAATTTGAGGACAGAAGAAAAGCTTTTATTAATCAAAGTTCTTTTAAATATGATCAAAATAAAAATTAATAACTAATGTGCATACAATTGTGCAGGTAAACTTAATAATGTACTGTTTGATTGAAAACAAAATTAAATGCAAATATTAACTTGCTGATTGTAAGTTGTTTTTCTAAATGGCTGAATACTTGCAACTTAATGCACTCACTGGGAAAGGTGGAAACCCATTGGCCATTTAATCATCCCATTTCCAATGTTGGCCAGGCTGTACCAATGAGGGTGACTGAATTACACCCATGGGAAGTGGAAGCTCAGACTCAATTTTGATGGAAAATAACCAGAAGGGCACATCCAAAGGTTTCCCCACCCATCTTTCCCAACTATTATAGCAAGAAATCTTTAAAAAGATTTTCAGCTCACTAGTATTTTAAATGTCCCCTTGTTACATAGACTCTATATGCTTATGAACATTTGAGCTTTTCTCCAGAAGTCCAATGACACGACAACCAGCACCGCTAACCACTATGCCAATCAGGGCAGAACTTAACTGAATACTAATTAAACGTTTCAGGATACTTTTGAAATGAATATAGCTTTAGGATCCTGACCTTCAGTTCAATCACATTCTGCATAATGTTGGTGTCAACTGTTATGGGAAAGATGGCAAAGCTTAATGCATACTTACCAACATATGACACTCAAAAATCAGGAGACTTTTCACAATGTTAAAAAGACTTTTTAAATGATTAAAATATAGTTTTTTATAATGAATTAACTTTAAATAGTACTAATTTCTTAAATGCAAGTGCCCCAAAAATATCTACACAGAAAAAACATTTTATACTTGCATTTAAGAAAACAAACAATCAAACAAACAAAAAAAAACAAAAGACACTTTAATCGTTTCCGTACAATGTTATCAACAGGGCGATTTTGCTTTCGTAAGAAAGAAACTTATAATTTTGTTCATAGCATTGCCACGTAGCCCTGCTTTCATAATAAAAGTTTTTCTAATATGTCATCCTAATATTAGATTTTAAATTTAGTCCTGGTTTCGCAACAACACTGAAAATCCTCTCACATCTGCACATGGGGAACTGTCAAGAGGCCACATAGTTCTAGACAGTTCACTATATTTTAAAATCCATCATCACCTTCAGTTTTCCAATTAAACTCCATGGGTGTCAATTCTAGCTAATTTTATAATTTCATCCAAGTTTCTAATTGTAAACTGCAAAATTGCGACTGCAATATATCAGTGGCAACATCAATATCATCATCTTTTATGACTAAATGAAGTAACTCAGAATTTTTGAACAGAAATGTGTTCAAAAAGTACCTTATATCAGAAAACGATGCATTTGCTAGAGCAGAAACATCAGCAACTTTAGCATGCAAAATCACTTCATCATTGACTGGAAATTTATGTAGTATGTAATCACATACTCCACAGAAGTAACTTCTAATATAAAAATAAAACTTATTTCTATTTTCTTCTCTCAGAAGAAGACAAAAATCAAACTACAAATTTCTTCCACTACTTTTGTAGTTGCAGCTCCTATTACCAAATCTTCATCTTTCATCTGATCTTCTATTTCACCATAAATTACATCATATATAGAATTACAAGACAAAACATACACTGGTTTTACAAACTTTGATAAAATGTCTTTAAACATATCATAAATCATTGATTGCAAAACATGAATTAATGGAATTTTTTGTAGAACTGCGTTAAAAACATAGAATGATGGCAAAATAAATTATTTAAAAAAAAAAAAAAAAAATATTCGTTCTTCACAAGATAAACTTACAGTAATCGGAAAATGTTTTGTGTGTTGAGCAATTTTTTTTTTTTTTTTATTTTGAAAGAAATTTGTATCAGCTTTAGCTTATATTTGCAGTATATTTTGAAAAGCCAGGAATTGCTGAATGGTGCAGAAATACTTTATTTTTCTCAAACCTATTTTAACAATGGAAGTAGTAACTACATCTCCATTTACTTAGGTATTTTATAACTTCATTCAATAGAGCCTTTTTATTAACCCTCAAAGCATTTACTTCTTCTTTAAAAATGCAAGAAGTGGGTTCATTGATCGAGGATTCTAGATAAGCATTTCTTTAAAGACAGCCAGCATGTACACACATGTTTAAAATTTTTTCTCATTTCAGTATTATCAGCTGTTGGAAACTGTTCAATTTTTCCTTCTTTTAGAACTCCTTTCAAGATAATAACAAAATCAACAATGTGTTCATCCACATTTATTGGTAAAGAAGCTGCCCCTTTTTCAACTGCTAAATTTAACAGGTGACAGGTGCACTCAAAATCTGAAAATCTGAATTTTCTTCTTAAGATGCCTGCAACACAGTCTTCAAGCCTACCATACTGGTGCATTTTGGGCACCAAGTTGTAAGCAATTTTCCAGAGGGACTGATTTTCTTTAAAGTTTAATAATTAGCTGTGCTATATTAAAGCCGTCAAATGGCCTTCTAAGTGGGACAGAAATAAACGCACCAATTTCTGAAGAATCTGGATTAAAAAACGAAACAATAATTGGATACAGTTTTGAATCAGTATCATTGCTTCCATCCGTACAGAAGCAGAACGGAGCTATTTTAATGCAATCAATAACTGAAGATTTATATTTCAAACCCATTTCTTTAACAATTGCACCTGTTTTGGTCCTTGCAATTGAGTATTTCTTAGCGATTTCTATATCGGGAAACGTTTTTCTAAATAAAGCTGCAGCGTGATCCGATGCTTTCAGAGGCAGGTTGTACTCCAATAAAAAGGCAGAGAACAGACATTCTGCATTAATAACTTTTTGGTCCTCTGTTTCCGAAAAAAATTTAATTTTCCGTTTTTTTCAAAACAACTCATGTTGTCCTTGTGTTTTTGTGTACGCACATGTTTGAGAACATCCACCCTTCCACCATGTGAAATCGAAAAATTGCGACGACAGGCTGTACACATCGCAAATTTATTACATTTCCTTGAGGAAATAATGGAAGGAAAGTCAATTGTGTACGATTTTTGAAACGTACACAAGTATTTCACCTTTCTTGCGGACATAACAAAAGATGATAATTTCTAAAACTATCTCCCGAAGGTACGTGTGTACTCACACAACTCGGGACAAAATGAACGAAATAACTAAAGAACATCCAAATAACAATATGCTTTGTCCTTATTGGCTAATATATGCCAGATGACACCCAGTGGAGCTCGATACCCATTGGAGAACTGGAGAACGATGTTCCTGGATACGTATATGCTCTCACTCACAAAGCAGAAGTTATCTGATTCGCAAGGTTTTGTTTTAGATATAGTCTAGAATAAATTCAATTGCTTTCAGACGTCCAAAATCTTTTTTTTTTTGGTTCATATAACAAAGTATTAAGCCAAGTTCCATAAAAATCGTGAGAAATTTTAAGAATAAGAAAAAGTCGGGAGAAATATATTGTAAATCGGGTTGGCGGCAGAGCGACCAAAAATCGGGAGTCACCCGCCTAAATCGGGAGAGTTGGCAACTCTGTTAATGTAAAGAAACAGAGCTTGTCTCTAACTCACCATGTGATATAAACCATTCATGTTTCTGATATCCTTTCAAATCCTTTGTTTTAATTATTTTTTCGCTACCATGTAGGTTCTTTTAGGTTTACTATCTGGAGTTCTATTATGCATTGCTTTTATGGCTTACATTTTATGTACTTAACTTTTTATTTCAGAAAGTCTTGACTACAGTTTATTATGGTGAGAAAGCATTATTTGTGAGAGGAAGGATATATTCGCATGGTAAATTAGACAGTTGGTGACATGGATGACAGTGATTATTCATTTTCTGTTAGATGAGTTAGACAGCAATATTTCTAGCAATACCAGGGTTCATAGCCACATTTTAGTTAAAAAATAAGCACCTATAAGCACTTTTCAAGCACATTTTAAGGAAAAAATAAGCACCTGTCTAATTACATTATACGCAACTGCATAACCTTAAAAGAAAAATTAGACTGTAATTCAAAATATAAAATGCATTATTATTAAGAAG